TGTACCATTAAAAAATAAAAATAGCACTAAAGAAAATTATCCCATTTGGTATAACTCTGCTTTAATTTACACGTGAAAAGAGCAAGTTACATAAAAAATGGAAACGCTTTGCAAATCCGCGTGTTTATCATGAGTTTGCCTTGTTACGTTCTCGAGAAAGGCTACTTCAACAACTATGTTGTAATTGTTAATAAGTACATCAATAGCGTAGGGTAGGGATTGGTCTCACTCCCAAGGTTTTCTGGAAATTTATTTATCAGGGTAAGCCCATTACAGATGGCCATGTTATATGTAATGAATTTAATAATTACTTTAAAAGTATGTTTTCTAGTTCTTGCTTATAAAATGCAAGATCTGCAAATGGTGAAGATGAATGCCGCACAATTGACACAATATCTGGTCTAATCGTAACGAAGGACGATGTTTTTAAAATTCTAAGTTCGCTAGATGTCTCTAAAGGTCCCGAATGTGATGGATTATCAACTGTATTTTTACGCAACTGTTCTGACACATTAGCTTATCCTATAGATTATTTTTTTATAGAAGTGGGGGCAAACGAGCATGCGGCTCACCTGATGTTAAGTTCCTACCGCCGCCCATGATCAACCGCAACACCAGGGGAATTGCAGGTGCGTTGCCGGCCCTTTAGAAAGGAGTAAGCTCTTTTCTTGAAGGTCCCCAGGTTGTATCGGTCCGGAAAAATCGCTGGTGGTAAACTATTCCACAGAGAGGTTGTACGCGGAAGAAAACTCCTCTTGAAACGTACAGTGGTGGACCGCCAAGCATCCAGATGGTGGATGGCGGATTAATCGAACAATAGAGCACTCCCCATGGTATATGCGAAATACATCTCTACGCAGACGCCAGTGAATCGAGCCGATCGGAAAGCACTCGGTCGTCGACGATTCGAGCCGCTCTGCGCTGGATGCGGTCAAGTAGAAGGAGCTGGTACTGGGGAGCCCCAGCCCAGAGATGGGAACAGTATTCCATGGGCGGCCGAACCTGCGCCCTGTAAAGTTGCAGGCGGTGTGCCGGCATGAAATACTGTCCCGCTCTGCTGAGCACGCCAAGCTTTTTAGAGGCCAATTTGGCCTTCTCTTCCAAGTGACCACGAAACTGCACGTCACTCGATATGTCGACGCCGAGGATTCCGATACTGGCTGAGGCAACAAGGGGAGTGCCTTGAAACTAAGGAGATACGACAAGGGGGTACTTTTTAGCGGTTACGCGCAAACTTGTGTCTTCTGGGGGTTAAACTGGACTAGATTTAGTCGCCCCCAATCCGAGACTCTGTTCAGCAAAGACTCGACTTCAGACACAAGTTTATCCCGGTACTCGGAGATGTTACGGGTTTGCAACATATCATTGACATGCAGAAGAAAAAGCGTTGGCGATAGCACGCAGCCTTGTGGAACACCAGCATTAATAGGCTTGTAATCACCGTGTGGATCACATCATCCTCTTAGACAAGTTGTATAGGATCGGAATTTGTGGTGACCTACTAAGATGGAATGCCTCTTATCTCTCTAATCGTTCTCAAGTGTAGTCATTGGCGGTTTCAAATCTGATTTCATATAAATTCCATCCGGCGTTCCTCATAGATTACACCCTGGACCACTTTTCTATTGTGCGTATATCTATGATATTAATCAATGCTTCGAATTTTCAAATCATCTACTTTACGCTGATGACAAAAAGGTGTTCATGAAAATTAATTCGATTTAAGATTGTGAACAAGTTCAATGTGACTTGGATAACTTATATTCATATAATGCCCGTAACAATATTACAGTAAATATAAGCAAATGTCAATGTATTAGTTTTGGTCGAAAGAAAAATAAAATTGTTTTTCAGTATCACTTTAATGGTAAAGACATAAAACGGGCTGAGATAGTAGAGGATTTAGGAGTTTTTCTTGATTCTAAAATGATGTTCTCCGAGCATGTCAACCATATCGCAAATAGGTCATACCGCAACTTGGGGTTCATTGTGAGGATTTGTAAACCTTTTAGAAACGTAAGCCGTCTTAGACCTATTTACTATGCATATTGCCGCAGTATTCTTGAATATGGTAGCTCTATATGGTCACCGCAATATGCTTCCTATTTAAACGGATTAGAAAGAATACAAAAACTATTTATAAAGCACCTCAACTCCAAAACCGGCTTGTGTCGTCGTGGAACTTATAATGAGGATTGCCTTAAATACGGTCTCTTATCTCGAATTACTTGATATGTGATTTTTGCATGATATCCTTCACAATAACATTAACAGACCCAATCTTCTCGCTGGTATCAGGTTCTGCACTCTTAAGTAACACTAACACCGTAACAAATACGGTGTAAATGCTGTCATGTCTCGTCTACCCAAAATTTATAATAGTAAATATAGTAAACTTGATATTTTCAATTTTTCTAAGTCTAACTTTAAACGCCAACTTATGTTGAAGCTGTCGGAGACTAAAAAGCCGTAACCGTCACATAACGTACATATACTATTATTAACTGCATCTGTTTTATCTTAAATTTACGCGAACACTACACATTGAATAAAACTAAATTTACGGATTTTATCGCGTTTATTTCATTACTTTCACTTATTTTTAATTCCCGACGTTTCGGGTGCTTTACAGCAACCATGGTCACGGGGGGGGGGGGGGGGACTGAGATGTTTGACGTCCCAATGTCATAGTTAGTCCGGCTACCTTCAGTTTTTGAATATTAATTTTTGGTCCGATTTACGCAAAACGAGCTTATAGTATCATGAAGTCTTGCAGTGGTATGCTTAGGTTTGGGTTTAATTTTGTTAATTATAGGATCCCAAGCAGGTGGCAGCACCCATCCATCTTCTCTATTGAAATTTGGATGTTTTTTTAATTTCAATAGCCTCGCGTATCATCCTTGGTAGGAATCGGTGTTCTTTTGCGAGAATTTGTGGTTTATCAAAACGAATGTAATGGCGGGGACGATCTTGAACATGTTCGCAGACTGCAGACTTCCCGGAGCGTCGGTGCTTCACGTCAGCTTGTCTGTGACTCCTCTGACATATCCATATGTCAGAGGATCACAGACAAGGTTGGCTACATCTTGAAGCGAGCTTCTATTAAAACATACTACAAGCCGCCGAAGAAGATTAGTCAATTTTTACCATCCGTCAAGTGTAATATCCCTCTACAAGATGCAGGAGTGTACAAGTTAGATTGTGAAAGTGGTCTCTCTTACATAGGTCAAACAAAAAGATCCATAAAAACCCGCGTGAAAGAACATATAGCTGACGTGAAGCACCGACGCTCCGGCTCCGGACGCTATTTTTTAAAGTATGTTTGTAAAAAAAATGCTGTTGAGTTTCCTAATAAAAAAATGGAGAATAGTTAGAAAAGTGTCCATCTCTAAGCAGTAAATAACAGTTCAGCAGAGGGTATGAAATGAACTTAGCAGTTGTCGACGGAGTGAAGTATGCTGAATTTGTTAGAAGGAATTTAATATTTGTGGTGACTAGAGTAGTTGATGAAACTGCAGTATTTAAAACCTCAACTACTCACATTGTCTAAAATAATTTAGTAAATATAACCTAGAAAAAGTCGCCGTGAAACAGCTTGAGAGTGATTTCGAATATAAAAATTTTGAAAACAATAAAATAATTATTATAAAAAAAGAATTATGGCGCAAGTCCGTGCAATAAATTAAAATAAATTTTTAAATTAAAAATAAAATTAAGTTATGAAAAGTTCTTTAAAATTTCTCCTTTATCTACAGTGGCGCTACCCTTATTTAAGGCTTTCATAATAACACACATCACATTTTAATATACAGAGACGGTTCTCCTTACCTTTACACTCCATGTCTACAACCATTAGGCTACTATCGCTAAGATGAAGAACTTCGAGTATGCACTCATTTTATTTACTCATACACATAGAGAAAGGCCGAACATTTTTTTTTAAACATTTCAAGTGACGCAAGACAAAAGCCAAATCTATGTCATGTAATACAGGCATTAACGTACATATGTGTATCTATATTTTTTATAGAATAACCTTTTTACCTTCTGGAAAATAATAGGGTGTAACATATGAAGGGAGTAGAATGGTACTGATATTTTCCAAAAAATGAAAACAGAAATTATTGAATTAAATAATAAATAAATAAAAATTTATCGAAATTCAAATCATATCCACCCTACTTTACGAACGGCAATAAAACAATAAATTTAGTAGGCATCTTTCACATTGTCACTTCACAGGGTCAAAAAAAAATTTAAGCTTTTAATTCAAAATTTTTGTTTTACTTTACGAACGGCAATAAAACAATAAATTTAGTAGGCGATCTTTCACATTGTCACTTCATAGAATCAAAAAAATTTTAATTCAAAATTTTTGTTTTTATTTTTTGTAAAATATCAGTGCCATAGGCTTCTACTCCGTTCACATGTTACACCCTATTTTTTTCCATGCGGTAAATAAAGTCATCCAGTATATTTTTATAGATAACGTTTACTAAGTACCTTGAGCCAGTTTTTATCATGTTTCTATAAATGACTGTACACAGCCGAGGGAGAAAATCTAAAAAAACAAAACAATATATACGAATTCCGATTATCCACTCCGTCTGGGGTGGATAAATGAACACGCGTTTGCGAGTATTCACCCTAGGGTGGATTATTTACTATGGATAAACGGAACCCGAAAAAAATCTACCTTAAACGAATACAGACGAAAATGTAAACGCGTCGAACTCATCCGTGTGCGTTGTTCGTGCGGTAATCTAAATATTTATAATTTGATATACTGTAATGAATGAATGTATGTATGTAAAGTGGTCGGAAGGTCTTGAAGAGTTTATTATATAAAATTACTTTTATACCTTATAAGCGCCGAACTGCAGAGTACCCTTTGCTGTGATCCAGTTGCTTGCACGTGTCCATGTGTTACAGAACTTGCCATCAGGTGGACTGTTAACTCGTTCGTCAACATTACAAATATTTTCTAGAAAAAAACTTACCTTTTGGAGGTGGAATGTTTCCTGTAAGATAACGAAATAAGAGTTTAAATACTTATGACTGTTTTGTCTTAGTGAAATTTCAATGTTTATCGATTGTTATCAAATAAGAGTGAGATAAATTAAATAATGACTGCTTGGTAAATAAGAGCGTGGTAGAGCCACGCTCTTATTTACCACAGCTCAACCACGATCTACGGTTGTAGCAGGAATGGGTCGGCTCGACCGGGGAAGGACCACGCTCGCACAGTATACCAGCGTAAAATAGCTGCTTAATACTGATGTGTCTCGTATGATAAGGGTCGATATTCGAAGACCCTTTTTTACTGGAAACGTAGCATTCCATCTTAGCCCTTAGGGGTGACAACGCATCTGCGTTTTGATTCTTAATCGAGGACAAATGTAGATGTTTATGGGCCATAGCATCCACTTACCATCAGAAGGACTGTGTGCTCGTTTGTCACACCCTTATTCTATATAAATATAAAAGAAAACTGCTGTTTTAGCTCACTTTAAAGAAAGGATGATATTTACAATACCACACTATTTAAATCTCCTCTTTTCTTTAAGCTTAAATATAAAGTAAAATTCCATCCCTATTATTTATAGTTGTTTGAAGTCAACTTGTGCTTTTAATTAATAGTAAAATTTTCAGTGTTAAACAGGTTTGTTGGTGTTGAAATAAACAATATAAAAAGCCAATTTGTAGAAAATTGGATAAATTTGTATTGGGACTTAGAACATGCTAAGGCAGGGTAAATCAGAACGGATTAGAAATTATAGCGGACAAAGCAACGGAAATTCATACTCCCAAAAAACGTATCCTTGTTTTGAACTCTATGTAGGAGAGTAAAAAACATTTTTTGTGTATGATTTACAAAAAAAAATCAACAGTTCATCAGATTTTTGTACGAAAAAGTTTTACTGTGTTTAGGTTTCACATTCTGATCTAATCAATTAATGCAATTATTAACACACTCTTCCAATAATAAATTAATCGTAAATGAAAAATATCACTAACCCATTTGAATGTTCGGATCATTTAGAACAGCATCTTGGAATTGGTAAATGTTTTGGTATTGATGTTGAGGTACCATTGATCCTTGTGGTTCTCTCATACCGCTAGCTGAAATAGTCCACATTGTTTGCTTAGTATACATACATGGTTCAGCAACGGTAAAGCTATAATGCTGAATAAAAGGATTGACTTGATCAGGGAAGGACCACGCTCTCACAGAATACTAGAGTAATCTAGTAGCATAATCATATCCTTCACCACCAATAACTTGTTAAATTATCACTTGAATCACAACTAACAATTTCATTGGCAAACAGACTTGGTTTTTTGAGTAGTATAAAATTTAAGATCCTGAGTTACCATAGTTGAGTAATAATCTTCGATCTCAAACCTGAAGTTGTTATAATACATAAATAATTACAGGTGATAGACTTACATTGTTGGATATTTGGTTCATTTTGAATGGTATCTTGAATCTGTTGTACATTTTGGTAATTGTTCTGAGGCCACTTAGGCCCTTGTGATGTTCTTGTAGCACTCGCTGAAATAAATTATGTGGTTCACACTTAACATTATTTCTTATTTTTTTTTAAATATTAAGTAAAACGTATGTGTTTTTTATAAGAATGTTTTTATATATAAAAAGGTGCAAACGAGCATACTGTGTACTGTACGTTGTTCATGGCAACACCAGGAGAATTGCATATTTGTTGCCTGCCTCTTAAAAAAGATTACTCTTTCTTGAAAGGCCTTAAGTCGCATCGGTCCGGAATAATAGCTGGTGGTAGTCGATTCCACAAGAAGTTGTGCGAGGAAGAAAACTTTTTGTAAATTGCACAGTGGTGGACCGTCAATCATCCAGATGGTATGAATGGTTTCGTGAGTTTTGTCGCAATGAGTAATGGTGAGATTGAGCGGCTGGAATTAGTACGAACAAATCCTCTGAGCACTTTCCGTGGTAGATGCAAAGTGTATTAATTTGATAGAAATACTTTATTATAAAAGGGTAAATTTTATACTAGTCTACCTGTGCCGTGTTGTGTCGGCGTAATATAATCCCCTACCAAATATCATGCCGTGAGTGTCGTATAAAACTACAGAGGGAAATGAAAATGGCCAGGTCTGATAACTTATAATAATAAAAAAAGCTGCGGTTGCAAACCGACCTGCCAAGTGTGGCAACTGTGGTAAAAATCCTCCTTATGAAGAGACGGAGACTTATTTTTTTAAATTGAATTAGGGTGAAAAATGAGCACACACTCCACCTGATGGTAAGTAGATGCTGTGGCCCATAGACATCTATATTTATTTTCGATTAAGAATCAAAACGCAGATGCATTGTCACCACTGAGGATCAAAATGGAATACTTAGTTTCCAGTGAAAAAAGTCTCCGGTTCTCTACACTCACCACACGAAACACAGCAGTATTAAGCTGGTATTTTACGTCGGTATTCTGTGAGAGCATTGTCCTTCCCTGATCGAGCCGACCCATTCGTGCTACAATGATAATATAGCTGCAGCGTGGCTCTACCACGTATAATACAGCTTACGGCTGGCTTATGTTCAGCAGTGGACTTTTGATGGATTCTAATTAATAAATTTCAAACGTATCAGAGTAGCAAAGTTTTTCACAATTATTTTTAATACGATACATAGGTAGTACCCAGTTTCTTAAAAAAATCAAGAGTTGTTAAAATATGAGTAACATAATGTCAGAAATCATGGAAAAGTGAATGAAAAAAGAAATGATTCATTTCCTTCTACTTACATCGGTTGTTTAAAGTTGGTATTGTCTTAATATTGTCATTAGTAGGGATCACTTTAGTAGCTGGAGTTGTAGTTTTCTCAGGATTTGCGTCTGGTTTGTTTGATTCCTTATTTGTAACTGAAACATTGTTTTATCAACTATATAGTAATTATAATATAGAACTTTTATTGTTCTTATCTCTACAAAAACATTTAAAAACAATGTTCTTTGTACCTTTTCTAGATTATACTTTAAAAAGTAGCCATTCTCCATGACTTCGTCCTAGTGGAATTTATAAAGATTGGACTTCATGGGTTAAATTTTTTGCGTGGGACTCAATTTTTTTTTCTAAAATAAGAGTAACCTAAGTTACTTATTGTAAAATCAAATACCTACCATTGGTAGCCATTTCTGACATTAAAAAAATTAAACATAATTTTTTTTGATAATACTTTCATGCATTTAGTAAAAAACTGTTATGTTGACTTTATAAACAAACATTTCAATTTTATATTTCAATTTAATTTATAGATTGGAATATTGCTTAACCAGCTGTTCCCGGAGACTTCACCCGCGTGCAATTTAGGGTTTTATTTTTTTGTGCGGAACCCTAATTATTTTTCTAAAATAAAAGTAGCCTAAGTTACTCCTTAAAGTTTCAGCTATTCTGCCAGTGAAAGTTACGTCAAAATCGGTTCAGCCACTTTGGAGAAACGAGCCGCCGCCGGAACAAACAGACAAAATTTTTTAAAATTGTGTTTTTGTTATATGTACTGTATATAATGTCATACGTATTAAGTGAACAGCTGTTATTTTTACATTACCATCAGACACTTGTATTTAATTTATTTGTATGGTCAAATTTTAACAATGCTTACTATCACATTCATGGTAACTACAGGTTGTCGTGACTTATCATACAATAAATGAAAACTAAGTTATTATTAGTTCATTAGAGTATCTTAAAACAATTTATTTTGTTATAACAAATAGAAAAGGTAAATTTTAAACAATAACTCTGGAATTCATTTAAAATTGACTGTTGGCGCGTTGAAGATAACTATTAACATCTTTATATAGGTATATGATTGTTGGTATGACATGACAAATTGAGGTAATATTTTTTTTCTATTTTAAGCCAGTATTTGACTACTGATGGACCTGATGCTGACTGGTGATGCAGCTGATGACGCATTGACATAACAGCACTTAATGATTTATTCACACACTACATTTGTAATATCAAGGCATTGCTATGCTTAAATCCGATAGGTGATGCTGTACACGTTATTAACAAATTCTATACTCATGGATCGAAATGACTAATATTAAGTATATAATCCGTTGTTGTAGAACAAAAAACGTTCTCGGGAGCAGATCGGGATAGGGCTTGGGTTGAGTTAAGTATAAATTTTATATAACCACTGGCCAAAGCTATATCTGCTATATATAAATTTAATAACCTACCTGTTTTTTCCTGATTTTCCTTCTTTTTTCCCTCTTCAATGGTTTTTTCAGTGACTTCTTTTGGTTTTTGATTTAACTTGATTTTTTCTTGTGTTTTCACTTGCATGTTAAGCATAAGTGTCCTGCTTTCTTGCCTGTATGAGAAAATAAGAATGATTTCACATAGGTTTCATCTTAATATCAATGACATTCAGTGATAATTGAAACACACACACACACACACACACACACACACAGACACACAGTCACACACAAAGACAAACACACACAGAGACACACACAACTTGTCATAACATACCAATGCCTAATGGAACACCGAGAGAATGTATAGGTTGGAATGCAATGATATAGACCCAGCGATAGCACAAACAAACTTAAAAGTCACTTAATTATTAATAATTGGGTAGTTGACACCATGACTAACAAATTAAATACATCATAAAATTCAAATTCTATGTTCAGAGATTTTCGGCGTGATAGAAATCATAATGTAAAAGTAGAGTAACGGACAAAAACAATGGTATCAGTAAGCAAAGTGATAATGCGCTGCCCATAAAGCTCAAGAACTAAATGTAGGCATACATACTCTGCGGCAGATTGTACAGAAGACCGAAGAGTACAATCTGCCACTTTGCCTGGCATATGTGGACTATGAGAAAGCCTTTGAGTCCATCGAAATTTGGGAGGTGCTACAGTCCCTTCAGCGGTGCCAAGTTGACTGTCGGTATATTGAAGTGCTGAAGTGTTTGTACAGTAGGGCTACAATGGTTATCCGGGTACAGAACTAGATTTCGAAACCTATCCAACTGCAGAGAGGTGTAAGACAGGGTGACGTTATATCCCCGAAACTCCTCACGTTGCATTGGAAGACGTTTTCAAGCTACTGGACTGGAAAGGATAAGGAATTAACATCAATGGTGAGTACATCACTCACCTTCGATTTGCCGACAATATAGTCCTTATGGCAGAATCGCTGGAGGACCTAAGCACTATGCTCAATGACTTACAATGGTGTCTTTCAACAGATAGGTCTTAAGATGAACATGGACTAAACAAAGATCATGTTTAATGTCCATGTCACACCTATGCCGGTAGTTGTTGGGAGTACTATACTCGAAGTTGTTAACAAGTACGTTCACCTGGGAAAAATAGTCCAACTAGGTAAGTCCAACTTCGACCAAGAGGTCAATCGACCAGAGTGATGAGAAATCAGAGTGACCGACATAGCCTAACGGATTAGTAAGCTGAAGTGGCAATGGGCTAGCCATATAGCTCGAAAAACTGATAACTGTAATGATGATGATTCATCATTACAGCCCTTCACAAGACGATGACGATGAACATTAAGCAAGCTAAAATCCATAAAACTAGTTTTATTGAATGTGTAATGCTCACATACATATAAGAAATCGTAGTAGCTGACCAATAGCTGGGTAACCATAATAGCTAGGCAATTTGACCACTAGATCATACAGTCCTTATTTAAATACAGAAACAAATTATTAAAACATTAGTAATAGGCTTACATTGTCCCCTGTTGATTTGAATTTTCTTCTGTTAAAAGAATGGATGGGGAGTTATCATCAGTGAGTTCTACTAAGGGTTCCTGTTTTTCAATGTTCATAGTGACAGGAGTAGGTGCTTCAGTAGGCTTATTTTTAATTGGTGTCTGCATTTTTGGTGTAACAATATCTTTTGCACCTATATCTGCCCAGAATGGAATATCTGTAGGCTCATAACTAGAGTTCCTCTGAAAGCCTTTTCTCTTTTTTTTTACCCCTTTTTCCACCTCTCATTCTGTAAGTATGATAAAAAATATAAGCTACCAAACCTATAATGGTTCCTTATAAGTTCTATGTAGAACTAATTGTAGTCAGTGATAAAAAGGAGGTTATACTATTTATCAAAATAAAAATAAGCTTTCCGCAAATGTACACTTAACCAGTGAATATAAGCAAGACCCGACAGTAAGGTCATTGCGGATCCTTATTGAAAAAGTTGAATGAAATTATAAACCTAGTTTTCCTTTTTAAAAGTTTTCAACCAGGCTCGATTGCACCTACCACAAAACTTACAAGATGCTGCCATGTATTCTGATTTATTCAAAATTCAAAACTTGTACAGTGTAATGAAAATGAATGCCTATGTAAATAATTGCTGAAAATCTTCAAAGATGAATTGAAAGACTCTAAGAAAGGCTCTAACTAAAAAAGAAAGGTTTAAATACTTGTAATCAAATCTAAATTTCTTAACATGATAATTTGAAAATGATAACACAATAATTTTATGATATTTTATGATATAACCTAATATATAAACAAAAACATACCTTGGTCTAAAAGGACCATTCATTTTATTCAGTTAAAATTATGTTTTAAATACGAATTTTAAAACAAAGTAATGTATAGGGATAATATTTACAAAAATATTGACAGCCTGACAAACTGACAATAGCAGTGACAGTGACAATGACATTGACAGATATGACAATAAGTTGACGAAGTTTCTTGTAATGATTCGAAGTTATATCGATACTATCGTCATCATCATCATCATTACAGCCCTTCACAAGTCCACTGCTGAACATAGGTCCTGAGCCAACTGCATCCATCGACTTACCAGCATGCTTGCAGGCATGTCTTACCAGGTCGCCACTCCATCTAGTGGAGGGTCGTCCTACACAACCCCTACCGGTACGAGGTTGCCACTCGAGAGCCTTTTTCCCACATTGGTTGTCGGTTCTTCGAGCTATATGGCCGGCCCATTGTCACTTCAGCTTACTAATCCGTTGCGCTATGTCGGTCACTTTAGAAACTGAGTGAGTCATTACCTTATACCTTATACCTTAAACGATATTATTGATCTGACATCAATTATTGAAAATTCGATTGTACCCACGTATATCACATCACGCTGCCGCACGACAGGTCATGACACTCAGTTTAAGCATTTTATGTAGCAATGTATGGAAAAATTTGCAAAATTAATGGAATCCTAATTTCAATAGAGAAGATGGATGGGTGCTGCCATCGGCTTGGGATCCTATAATTAACAAAATTAAACCCAAATCCAAGCATACCACTGCAAGACTTCAAGATACTGTAAGCTCGTTTTGCGCAAATCGGACCAAAAAATTAATATTAAAAAACTGAAAGTAGCCGGGCTAACTATGACATTGGGACCTCAAACATCTTAGTCCCCCCACCCGTGACCATGGGTGCTGTAAAGCACCCGAAACGTCGGGAATTAAAATTAAGTAAAATCAGTTAAATAAACGCGATAAAATCCGAAAATTTAGTTTTATTCAAAAAAATTAATGGAGTAGTTATCTATCGGCATATGTACGAAGTAAAATTTCACTCTCCCTGTCCCTCCCAAGTGAGCGTCACACCCCAACTCCAGCACTGATGTATAACTGAAAAACCACTTTTCCAGTTTTAAAGAAAACCGTACACAATATATGAAAAGTGTGTAGGTACTCGTACAAAATGATCTTCGATAAATTTGCTATCAAGATTCAAGACATACAAAAGCGATACCACGCAATTTACTACGAAATATGTAAATTTGTTATCATTCATCGATTTTTTTTGCTCAGTTTAGCTTTTGCAAAAATTCCCCACTTTTTGTATGTACAAGAGGCTGATAGCAAATTTATAAAGGATTATTTCGTACCTAGCCACTTTTCTAACCGTTTATGTATCGCGAACGGTTTTCTTTATAAGTAAAAAAGCTACGCTTCGGGACACTTTCTGGTGCGCGGTGGGTGGGGGGGGGGGGGGGGAGGAATAACTTCACCCATAGAACCGGCACTGCTGGTTTCTCTCGGTTGTTCTCACCGAGTGGCTAGGGCTTATGTGTCGTTCGCAAAGTTTATTTTCGTTAAATTGCATTGATGATGACGTAACTTTCGTTTGTAAGGATTAATGTGCCATGTCTACTTATAACGCTCATAAATCACGTCTTAATTTTCAATAATTTTTTGTCATAACATACCTCATAGTGGCTTATGTATAAGAAATAGGCAGATGATATTGCAAATTTTTTCCAGGTGGAGTAAAGGTCTATATTTTTGTGGAACTATGGTGGTGGTATCACTAACAATTATACATAATCGATTTTTGTGTTTTCTTCTGATTACAGTGTTCCATGAATTTTATATAACGTGAAAGTTGTTTCCAAATAGTATTCCTTTTTTAAATAGTTTACGTGCTTCTATGATATTACTGTTCCCGATCTTTGACGCGATTTATCGATAATCGATATGTCGGCGATCGATTAAATTAAGAGTCGATATCACAAACTGTAAGTGTTGGTTGTACAGCACTATTAAGAGGATACGTTGATTGTCTGTCTGTTTTAATAATTTGCCAATTAAAAACCTCAAGGGAAGCCAGGCAACCAAGTTGGTTAATAAATATTGGTTCTCAGCACGTCTGTCAGCGGCGCTGCTTAAGGAGTCCACCACGATCGCGTGATCAATCCCGAAAGTAGGAAAAGGTTTTATATATCATAGAGCCATAGTTGATAAAAGGTACGAAAGTCCGACTCATTCCCTTTATATAAAACTAGTGGTTTTTTTGCGCCCAAAGCAATATGGGCAACCCTCCGGAAAGCGGGGGGAGAGAGTCGGTGAATGCTCATAGCATACCACGCAGCCGGCTGCGTGGTTATGTGGAGACTTTTACCCACTAAACACCGCCATTAGGGACTGGCTTAACAATCTAGCTAGAGATCTTTAAGCCCTATCGAACGCGACCCCCCTTGGTTGAAAGGGGGGCACTAGCGGCGAGTAGCCGCTGGGAAGAATTGCTGCCTAATTAAGGCAGCTTACGAATGGGATAACTAATTATATTGAGTTTAGAAGATATTGGTGCTCGGTAAGAGCGAGCAGACGGTTCTGAGGGCACTGAGAAGCGCGCAGTTTGCGTGCTAAAATTGCGATCTCTCTTACGTCGATATTGCGGATAGCAGTATATACTGTATCTGCGTTATCGGCGTAAGAGGGTTCCGCCTGATGTCGGGGCCCTAGTGGGCGAAGGTGAGGAGGCCTGTAGGGTTCCTAAGGGGGCCGATATAGGTCTTGAGGTGACTGACAGTTGCCCTGAAGGGGCATTTTTGATGGGAGAGCCAGGAATGTACGGTCATTGACCGGTGGCGGAGCTTTTTTGGCAGCTTTGTTGCCGAGATTGGGGCGCGGCGCGCGAGGGCTGCCTCTGTAGTTGGCCGTATGGCCAGTCTGTCCGCAAAGGACGCAAGTGGGTGGGTATTCGGTATCACGGGGCCGAGGACACTCTTTCGAGCTGTGCGGGTCTAGGCACTTAACGCATCTGGGAGGGGCCGAGCAGTTGGCCGCCGCATGCCCGTAGAGTTGGCAGCGGTGGCACTGCGCCGGAAAACCGCGCCTATAGGGGGGCTTCGACTTTGACTCTCAACAGGCCGCACACAGTGTGTACCTGTCGGAATATGTCTTTCGCCTCCGGCACGTTGGACAAAATGAGGAGGGCAAGCGAGTACCTCTTGCCCCTACTGCTGTGCATCTTCTGCACAGCCTCAACTGGGAAACCCTGGGAGTTAAGGTCCTCCAGGATTCCTCGTTGGCAAGTTGGAAGGGAACTCCGTGGAGGACAGCCCTGACTTTACGTTCTTCGGGGAGAGCGTAGATGTGATATGGCACACCTTCGGATGTAATGAGTTTGGTGATGTTTCTAAAGTCTTCCATAGACTGCGGAACGATTTTAATTGACTCACCAAGGTTGGTGGCTTGGTCATATTTAAAGCCTGCGTCGTAACAGACTTTAGAAAGTCTAGTAAATTGCGCCTTGTCCCTGAGGAAGACAGGGGGCAGGACCTGTTTCTTTGTGGCAGCGACGGGGGCTGCGGTGGAGCTAGCAGGCGCGGGGGCTGCAGGGGCGGGAGGTGCGCGAGAGGTCGCAGCGCGTTTCGAACCACGCTTGGATTTCACTTCCGTGAAGGGGGGTTGTATCAATAACTCATTGAACGGACTCTGATGAGTTCGAGGAGTATAACGAGGCGTTGTTGTACTTACAGGTATTATTAGCCTGACCAGGTATATTAGCCTGACTCCAATAAAACAGACACTCTAATAGTTTATTCCTGCACACAAGTTTATTTATTTACTTACACAACACTTACAATTTGATATCACTTACTATTTCTATTATTATATACTATTTATTATTTTTAATCACTATATTTCGCGGAGTAACGAGGGTGAGCGTGGCACGAGCTCCCGCAGCGAATGCATATATTTTCTACTCACTAACTTGACCGGTAAAGCAGGCACAAGTACTTCGATACAAAAAAATATTGTTAACAGCAAATTGGTCGATTCATGCGGAAAAGTTAGTAAGTAGGATTTCTTAAGTGATTAATTAATTTTAAATTAAGTTGTTGAATTTATACAAAAAATATTTATTATAATTTAGAATTTTGATTTTATATATGTGATAGATAGATGAAATTAATTTACTTTATATTATACTGTATTAAAATTAAAATTTATTTAATACACATCACCTGTGCCACATCACTCCCCTGCCGAGACCGTTTCACGGGCGATAGTAGTCTGGAAATCGCACTACTCTTCCGCTTAGTGTTTTCTTTAGAGTATTCTCACTTTGACCAGTTGTGGGAGCTTGGGTTTCCTTTTCT